GTGTGTGTGTGTGTGTGTGTGTGTGTGTGTGTGTGTGATCAATCACTACCCCTCTTTTAATTCTCTCTCTCCCTTTCTCTCTCTCTCCCTTTCTCTCTCTCTCGCTCTCTCTTTCTTTCTCTCTCTCTCTCTCTCATGCCTCCCCCTTACTCTCTATCGTGTTCTCTTTCTCTCTCTCCTGGTCTCACTCTCACTCTCTATCTTTCTTCCTCTCTTGGCCTCTCTCTCTCTGTCTCTATCTAACTTTCTCGGTTTCATTTTCTCTTCATCATCTATTTCCCCCTTCTCTCTATCTCACTCTACCTCTCTTTCACTTTCCCTTCCTATCTTGCTATCTCTCCACCTTACCTCTCGCTCTCCTTCTCTTCCTATCTCGCTATCTGCATCCATGTATGTTGTCGTGTGCACACAACCCCGTGTTTGCTTCTACAGGAAAAATGTCGTTATTGTCGAGGTGTACTACGCATCGGCGGCCAACCAGACCGTGTGGACGGAGCCCTCCTACACCGGAGAGGACCTCATCTGTGAGTATAGTCACACTCTACTCTCTCTCTCTTTCTCTCTCTCTCTCTCTCTTTCTCTCTCTCTCTGTCTCTCTCTCTCTCTCTCTCTCTCTATATATATATATATATATCTCTGTGTCTCTATATCTCTCGCTGTCTCTATATGTCTCTGTGTCTCGATATATCTCTCTCTGTCTCTATATCTCTCTGTGTCTCTATATCTCTCTCTGTCTCTCTCTGTCTCTCTGTCTCTCTCCGCTCTCTCTCTCTCTCTCTCTCTCTCTCTATCTATCTATCTCCCGGTCTCTCTCTCTCTACCTTTCTTTCTCTCTCTCATTCTCTCCCTCTCTCTCTCTCTCTCTATCTCTCTGTCTCTCTCTCTCCGAGATGAGATGATGATGATGACTACTATGGCGACGGTGACAACGATGACGATGACAACGATGGCGGCGACGACTACTAAAATAACACCCGATGATTAATAAATGAACTTCGTGACGCGTGTATGACATCTCACATCGTGATCAATTCCAACATCCCTCGGCAGGTGACATCGGTGGTTTGATGGGAGCCTTCGCCGGAGCCAGTCTACTCACCATCCTAGAAGTCCTCGTCTTCGCGCGACCCAAACGCCACCTGGTGGGCGACAGCGGAACCACGCAGACTATTGCCGTTAAAAGCGCAAAAGCAGTCCAAACCACTCACCGCGCCGACTCCAAAGCGCCGACAGAATAACGGAACATTATTCATTTACTGCGCGTCGTGTTTGTGTGTGCATTTGCAATAATTCATCGCTATTTCATCGCGCAATATTTTATCATAACGGTGTGAGGAAGATGAATGATGATAGAAATGATGATTTAGTCTTTATATGTAGAGAGCACCTGCGCTGTGTACAAAGAACACAATACTGAGTGTCAACATCGGCCAGAATAAAATCGATAGGCGAGACCTGGGTGGCGCCCGTTAGAGAGAAACGTACGCGGGAATTGTGGTGCAATTTGTTCGCGTTTTTTCTGAAACAATAGCGCAGCTGTCGCGCGGCCGCCATTTTATCTCTCGTTCTCTCTCTCGCGCGCGCGCGTGTGTGTAAACATGGCAACAAGCGACGCGCGGGAAACGCAGACGCGGCTCCGGATATATTCGTGTGCACTCAATATCCGGAGACCGCAGGTGGCGGAAGAGAAGTGCCGTGTCTCTATATAGACACACACACACGCGCGCGCGCGCACACACACACACACAAACACACACGCGCGCGCGCAAACACACACACGCACACACACACACATACAAGCAAGCACACACACACACACACACACACACACACACACACACACACAATAACAAACAACGCACACACAGCACCCAGCAACGCGACAGCGCCTCACGACACATACACACCACCACACACCACGACAGCCAGTCCTGCCCGCCCACACAACAAGCACCCATACACAACAAGCTCCCCCCAAAGTACGCACTCCCACAGCACAGCACACACACGAGCCACATAACACAACACACACACACACACACACACACACACACACACACACACACACACACAGCACCTGGTTTAACTATACCGTGACGATATTTACGGAACAAAAACTGTGATCATAAGGAGATCAAAAACCCGCAGAAAAAAATGTGAAGAGGCGGCGTGTCGAATTCATTAACGGGAAGAGGCGGAGGCGGAGGAGAGGCGGAGGAGAAGGAGGGGGAGTGAGAGCAGGGGGAGGAGGGAGGAGAGGAGGGGGAGGGAGAGAGGAGTGAGAGGGGAGGTTTTTTTTGTCCCGTGCGTGTTTACACAGCCTGCGGAGCGGCGACGACAGCTCAGGTTTCCTGCCGAGATTCGATATTCGACGACCGGTGGAGGAGCGAGCGTGAACAACTCGCTGAGCGAGTATAAGAAGGAATCTGCAAAAATGAAGAAATCTGCGGGTGAGTATAAGAAGGAATCTGCAGAGAGGAAGAAATCTGGTGCATAAGAAGGAATCTACGAGCGCGGGGCAAACGCGCAGACGCGTGTCCGCTAAGGCAGAATAACGTAAACGTACGTACATGTAGAACGAACGTACATGTAGAACGAACGTACGTGTAGAACGAACGTACCCGTCACATGTAGACACACGTCACACTGTCAGAACGCAACGTAATGTAAGAAACGAACGACAGGGTCAGAACGAACGTACATGTAGACACGAAAGTCACAGAGAGAAGACACACGTAACAACCCATGTACAGACGACGCACAGTAGACCGCGAAAGTCAACCATGTAAGAACAAACGTCACATGTAGACACGAACGTACATGTGATACGCCAACGTACATGGTAGAACGCACAACGTACCATGTAGAGCCAGAAGGTAACGCGTCAGCAAC